TCCCTTCCTTTTCTTGCGCCTTCGTCTTGCACTGAGTAGCATTAGTGTGCATTTGAAGGTCTGGTTCTTAGACCATTCGATCGGCTGTGCCTATATCCTATTGCATATCACTTGACTAAACATTCTGTGTAGCATGTAGCACTGCTACACACACAGGTTCTGTCTTCTTCGGTCTCATTTCTGGCTGGGTGTAATGCCCATATGCACATGTATGTGGACATGTTTTTTTTAGATCTGCATCACGAGTGCCATTGGAAGTGGAAGGGCTGCAAATTTATATTGTACATACATGTGATGAATTCACTTCTTCACTTCCAAAGTGAAATGAAGGGGTAGAAGTTTGATTGTATGCCTAACGTCCTTGACCGTATAGTCATCAGGTCCCTTATTTTGTCACTTTCTACATGTATGTAAACCAGTCAAACTTGACAATAGGTGGCAAAATTTGTGACCCGGTGACTGTATGGGGTCACAGATGTCACTGTTTGTTTTATGCAATTGTGAAGCCACATTTTAATAAAAATTGTAATCTTCATGTGTTGCCCTGTTGAAAATATTTTGCCTGAATCAAATCTGGTTAGTTATATTTGCATTTGAGATACCACTATCGGGAGCCATATCAAACTGATTTTGATGCCATGGCGCTGAAGTAATACACAGTCCCTGTTTGAACTAGAACATTAACATACTGGTTGATATTGTTTACAAGCAATTCAACTGGATTGTAAATTTGTTGAGAAGTTTGCCTGAAAAAATACAACACTGATATTTACTGAGATGATACATCAGGAAAAAGTCCTGTCAAAATGCAATGTACTTTTGCACTCTTGTCTTGTACAGTTGTCAGATTGTTCATTTAGGGGTGGGCACAACTTCTTTCTTGGATTATATTGAATAAGTCCAACCGTAATGTTCAAGGCAAGGATACGCCAGTTACTCAACTTCATGTACGCCGGGAGGATTATTAAAACAGTGTCAACAAAAGGGAAAATTAATTCCAATATCTACTCACCTCTGATTTCAGAAACTCTCTGTTTGTCTTGTTGCAACTGCTGTTACTTGTCCTTGCTGTCTTCAAGAGGGCTCTGGGTTGTTGGGCCAATTTCTTTTGGAGGCATAATGTTTGAAGCATTCTTAAGTCATCACTGCATATACGTTTATTTGAACTATCTGCACCACATGCAGCAATCAGAGATGACTTTTTGGTGGGGGAAAAATGCTGCATTCATGCACTGGTTGCTGTGTTTGGTGTCGGACAGGCTGAGCACTTGCAACGGACTTCTGTTAACATGGTCTTTTCAAGTGAAATGTGTGGCATCTTGATACCGGTAATTCCACATTTATAAGCTGAAGAAGGATTACCTATTGTTAGCCATGAGTTAAGGCGCATGCAAATCTTCACAAACAGTTGCATGTGGATCATGCTTAAGGATTGTGCATTCACTGTACGTGTAGTTAGGCAATCAGTTACCCACAGTGCGTTGCGTTGCCTGGGCTAATTCCTCCACAGAGTGTGCTGACCTTTTAACCCTTCCCAGCACTCTGTTTTAGGTTGGACAGTGGGGAGCCAGGTTTGGTGTAGTGACTCTTTCCTCGCCTTCCACCTCTGTAATTTGTGTTGGAATCTTGCCTATGTCAGCATGTGGATTGGGTTTTCAGTCCTTGCCTGATTCTGTGGGTTTCCCTGGGATATTCATTCTGGGTTTTCCTCCCACCTCTAAAACGGAACATTTCTTCATGGTCTTCTTATCTGTATGGTAACTTCATCTTGTAATTGGCGCTGCATGTGCTGTTGGATGAACACCTGTACAGTAAATAATAAACAAAATCAAAGATATAATATTAATGTTAAGTACATGTACATGTACTGTAGCATATTTAGCAAGTGAGTCATCTTGTTGGATCCGTGACATGATGTGTTCACTGTGACTGTTTGAATACTGTTGTACATGTATTCATGTACATGTACATTCACTGTACATAACTCCCACAGAGAACAGGCACAGAGTTTGGGTTGCCTATTTTACATAAGTATTTTCTGACTCAACCTGACCTTTACAAAGATTGTAGGATGTCATGAAGAGGCTTTAATTCAGTAGCTCTGGGCTATGATGACATTGCATTGTTGGGAAATGGAGGGTGGAATTGAATGGGAAAGAAAGAAGGCAAAACTACCCCTTCCAGAGGAAACACAGATGTGAACATTTGCATAGGACTGCTAAATTATAAGTGCCATTGCCAAAATGATGAACAGTTTGGCTTTTAAATTTTTAGGGTTTATACATGTGTAATTTGCATACATGTACATGTATTTACCAAAGTTTCGTTGATTGTTGAAAAAGCTGTGCATTTTCAAAGTGATGAAAGTTGGCAAGACAAGCTCAACAGTGTGATTGTGATGAAGTTTACACCTTTTCCAGCTGACAGTGTCGTCATTGAGAGACATCAGTTTCCACTGGTGGTTCTGTGGTACGATAGGTCCTGCATGAATCATGTCCTCAGAAAGTAATGGGGAAAGGCCTCCAAGGGGATGGACACTTGTTGACAAACATGGACGGACTGAGGTAATTCAATAATCAAGTTTAACGATTCATTAAGTCAACCACTTTCATGGTCCGGAGTTGTTTTTGTTCTGTCAAGCTTACTTTATGAGATTAAAGGAACCATGTTAGTGGATTTGTGTGACTTGAATACATGTTCATGAAGCACAGTTTTGTTAACATGTGATGAAGCCCCACTGCCTTTGAAGCATTGAAAGGGGAAAAATTCAACATTTTGGATTTTATGCTGATTAAATGTCCATATTCATGAGCCAAAGCATGATGTCATTCAAGGCAGAACAGAAGTGTCTCCATCGTCCTTTCTGAAGTATGGTGACCGTAGTACAAGGGGGCTATTTGAAGCACCCTTCTATTATGCCCTCCATGTACATGTACATATGTATGTACGTCAAATAGGCTAATAGCTTCGTCTACAATATATTTATCACACTTTGCTACATGTTCTTGCAGAGTTTCCCACTTCATAGTCTGTATTTAGGTTGAACAGCTTGCTTTGGACCATGGTAGGGGCCAATATTTCTTAGAAAACATTGAGGGATTAATTTTTGTACTGTTCATAACTTCATACATATGACAAGGAGTGCCTTGTATGACATCAAAACAGCGCCCTCATACATGCACTGATGAAAATATATGAGAACTGAAAAATTACCACTGTTGCTCCACTTCAAATGAAACAAGGATTTTAGATCTTGTTTTTGTTCACTGGAACACATGCAGTGAAATAAGTTGAACTCAATGTCCATTGCATGTTTCCTTACATGTATCCTCCCAGTGTTCTCCACGGCTGAAAATTTTGGCAGGGCAGTAGACAAAATTACGAGCGCGAAGCCCTTACGGCGTGGGGTCCGGGGCCCGCTCAAGGGCCCCGGAAAATTTTGGATTCTAGATGCTCTGTGGTGCATTCTGGAGCAATTTTCAGTCCACTTTTATCTGTAATTTGGCCCCAAATCTGATTGCATTTACAATGTGAAATACTGGCTAGGATATTCTTCAGGAGGAATTTCTTCATTGAAAGATTTGATGACAAAATTATTTTAATTTCCAGAGCATTTTTAGCAGAACCTCATGTTAGTGACTCGAGACATGCTTGAGATGAGCAGAGCACGCAATTTTCTCAATGATCAGTTGACTGTGAAAAGGCACAGTGAAAACAAGCCTCAAAATGCACCCTTGAATAAAAAAGGACAAAAGATATATGTTCAGGCAAAGATAAGTTTACAGTTTCCAGCTCACGTCCTAAAAATGAAGCAACCCCTCCATCGGAGGAGAGCGTGGGGGCCGCTCAGACATGGCACGGTCCTTCCACTGGCGCTCGCACACACTACGCAAAACAATGTTGCGCCACGGGTACCAGTCACATGCACTGCGTGTACATGTATACGCTTGCGCAGTACAATGTACCTGTACATGTACAAAACATACGCGATGATTTTTCGAGACACGAGGTTGACTACATGTGTATGCATAACGGTAAGCAGCCAGTGATCACCATTGTCAGTACATCATAAGCATCGTCGGTAATTTCAAACTTGATCCACAAACTGCGGTAGATCTCTTTTTTATTAAAATCATGAGAAAGTAGACATTTGGAGAAAAATACATTGCTCAAAAAAATAGCAGGGCGGCACAAAATTTTGGCAGGGCGGTTCGCCTTGCTAAAACAGCTCGTGGAGAAGACTGTACCCTCCAAATGTCCATATGGCCAAGATTGGCAGGTCCCTTGTCCTTTTACATGTATTTTTGTTTGGAAAAACCCTCTCTCTGAGATTTTTTAGCCTCCGTGGGTTCCTAATGATATGAAGTAAACTGAGTGTGATGTTGGCTACCAGTCTCTATACTACAATTTATCAAAGATTCCACATCTAGTTGTCTAGTTTATCCAGTGGAAGGATCTTATTGTACAGCCATGTTTCTGGAACCCCCAAATTTGGTGTTCTTCATCTTGTCTTTTTGTCCCCCAACATACATGTACTTATAAATATTTTTCTTCTAGGATTCTGAGGATTCTTCAGGTTCCTCTTCAGACTTTGTAGATCTTGGAGAGGACAGCGTGCGGTATCACCATGTCAGTCGCAGCAGCAGTGTCATCAATATTCCTCCTGGCACCTTGACAACACCTTCGACCTTCTCAACCAGCCTGCCTGCTAACTTCAGAGCCCATGGCGAAGCAAGCGGAAGCCCTGAGGAAGACTCTCAGAATCCCGTCTTCCATGGTGACAGTGTTGTTACTTTAACAGAGCCGCCAAGTTCTTTAGAGAACCCTAAAGATGCAGGAATCTTTCATGGTGATGGAGCAGCAAGACGTCGCAACCATGGCAACAGTTCTCCTGAAACCAAGATGATGTCTTGTGGAGAAGATGAGGATAAGACACCCTTGTCAGAACTGAATTTACCAGCTGCAGCCAACAAGCAATCATCACATCTGGAGAACTCACTCTCCTCATGTGCATCAGCCTTGACTGGCTCCCAGTCTCCTCTCCTTGCCTCCTACTTGAATGGTCTTACCAATGTGGGGGACCAGCTTGAAGGGCAAAGGTCGAGTAGCCACAGGGGAAGCCCGGCTAACTTCCAGGTGTCACAGAATCTTGATGGGGCTGATGATGAGGAGCCTGATGTTCCAGAGAATCAAGAAGCTGGGGGAGCCGATAACATCTCAGTGGACAGCATTGAGGTTCTGTCCATGCCATCACAAGAGGGTCAATTTGTTGAAGACAGAGCAGTGATTAAGGACTGTGAGGAGACGCTTGAAGGAGTGAGGGAGACGGCCCAAGATGATCAAAAGATGCAGGCAGTACATGAACCTACAATGCTATCTATGGCAGCTGTCCTTCCTGAAACAGGTACACTTTTATTTGTTTGATATTGAATGTTTGTGGTTATGTTTGACTGTGAAATGTGCACACAACGTCCTCATCAGTAGAACATCTTAACCCTAAAACTCCTCAATCCTTCACCTGTTGGAGGACTGAGGAGTGTTAGGGTTAATGTTCAATTACATGTATGTTTGACGGAGGATGTGAGTGAACTCATGCATTTAAGCGTGTGTGGTAAATTATCCAGTTAGGTTTTAGGATGTGTTACTGCAGTGTGAGCATAATCAGGCAGCTGGCATGTTATGTGTATACTCTGAAGCTTAGCCAGAGGCTCTGGCAGTGGATGGGTTCCCTTTGTGTTTGTACACATGTTCACAATGTCACGACTTTGTGAGAAATATTGTGTTGTGGTGAGAATATGTACAAGCAATGTACAAATCTTTCTTTACAAACAGCATTTTTGGTGAGTGGCTGAATTTTAAATGCTGACTGACATATTTGAGCTTTGTCAAAAGCAGATTTTTCAGCCATGATTGGTTATTTTGCTCTCACCTCAAGTCTGGTTTCTGTCTTTACAGAAATGTTGCCTCACCATGGTAATGAATTACACCTGAGTTCCGTGAGTGAAGAGTCTGACACTTCTGAGTTTGAGCGCATCGATCCCGAAATGATCCCAAGAGTTGAAGAGATGGATAGCCACACTGTAGATTCAGCAGAAGAGAACAAGATGGATGTGGCAGGGGCCAGACCGACAGAGGCATTGGTGAGCCAGTCTTATTCTTAAAGTTTAGTGATTTTTTGCTAGGTTTTTTTCAGTGTTTCATCTTCGACATGGAAAGTAAGCAATGTAAGCATACATGTATTTGGATGGCTGTCAGAGGAATTGCATGGTTCACTGAAAGTACAGATGGTAAAAGACACATTTATGTACGTTTGTTTTTCTGCATTAGATGACTATTGGTAGTTATTAACTGTCTGAACAATGTCCCAAGTAAAAAAAACTGTTTTTACGATAAACTTTCCATAACATCTATTCTTTTTTTCAGCAAGATGAACCACTCTCAAACATCTTGTTGAGACCATCCAGTCAACCACGGAACTTTGTTGGGGCACAGTTACTTGATCCAGAAGGAGTGCACATTTCTTCTCAGTCATCAGGCCCATCACTTCCCGTTACTCCTGATACACTTGTTCCCTCCAGTTCACCTGCTTCACACATCCATCCCTGGTCTGGCATCCAGCCTTTCCCTTCTGACCAGAGTGCAGCTGGGAGGATTGGTCTTTGCCATCAAAGCAGTTCAGCAGACTCAGCTGGACTCAGACTCCAGCCACTGAGTAGGTTTGGCTTGCCCCGTCAGCACAGTAACAGCTCAAGTGATGAGGGTTTTGAGCTTGTACGGAGACCAAGGCGTCAGGATGATGATGAGGTGTCAGTTGTTTCATCCAGTAGCTCTGATCTGTCGGGCTTTGTTAACGCAAGACAGCGGCATGGTAAGTGGGAAAGAAGGAATAGGTTGAAAAAGGTTTTGGCTAAACTTGAGGGATTTTTGTCTTACCTGGTTGAATGGAATTCAGCCATGCCTAGGAAATTTTCTACTTCTGTAATTTTCATGATGTACTTTGCATTGGAGAGATGTTAATTTATATTACGGGTTTTGCCCTTACCCAACGTATATATTCATAAACACTGTATACTCAGTGCTTGTCCAAAAGCATGCAAAAAAATTCACAAGCATGCTCGGGTGGGACTCCAACCCACGACCTCTTGCTTACTAGTGCTGACGTCTTGACCACTCAACCACTGAGCTTACCAGGGTCAGCTGGCCGGTCCGAGTCAGATATAGCAGCGGGTACATGTATTTGAAACTATTTTCAAGATGTACTTAGATGTGGCTTTCTGCACTCAAGTGTTGTCTCAAGTCGAGTCAAAGAAAAGTCCAATGCTCTGTGAGAAGTGCATTCCTTTAATTAAGTAGAGGCCATCACTAGACAAACAAGCCTACAGGACCAGACCCAAGACCAGTCGCAAGTAACAATGTGAACAGTGACAGAGGAATGCTTTTGTTGCATTTCGTGTGAATAACACATACCTGGAATTTCAACTGGAGGATTTGTGTTGGTCTTGTGATGGTCTTTTGGCATCTTGGGCTTAAGAGATCTCAACTGTGATATTGATAAATGAAAGGACTTATGATTGGATTTGTGTGGACTACTTAACATCACCTTACATTACATCCAGCTGTGCATGAAATCCTAGCCTTTTGTTAACGGCTGGCTTTGTGTTTTTGATCTTTCTGCAGGACCGTCCTTGTCCCGCTCTGTCAACCAGCGTCATAATGACTTTGACGACACGCTGGATAGTGTGTCCAACTTCACAGACATCTCTGAGGACTGTCTGCCAGCCAACATGATGATCCAGAGCCAGAAGTCAGGAGTGAAGCAGTACAGACATCGAAGGGATGATGGATTGAACACGAGGCTGGACTGGCTGGTTGCTATGGTGCTACTGGCTGGCTTGGCTCTTGGCATCGGACATTATATTGGTAGGCTATTTACTGATGAGGTGCTTTCATGTCAAGTGGTACTTTTGTTTGTTCCAGCTCATATCGTGTAAAAATTGTTGAACTTAGTATTGAAAACAAAATCAAGTTTAAAGGGAGTTTATATGAGCGATTGCTGATAAGGTTTGTTACAATTCACCCCATACAGTTGTCACTTGATGTCACAACAAGATTTGTATAATCTGACAAAACGCTGGTTTTTTGTAAGATTAATTCCACTTTTGAGAAATTTGTTTTGCATTTTCTCGTGGCTCGGGTGAAACTGTTTGTGAGTGGCTATTACCTGAAGATAAATGAAAGAAGGCATTGAATGAATATTAAATAAACAAGGAAACATTGAAGTAATGAAGAAAACAAAGTGACCGCAGACAAATCTGAGCTTTGTCAATTAATGTTAATGATATCAGTGGGCGTGTTTGCTCTTGTATTGACAAAAAACCTTGTAGGTTCTACCCAGGAGATGGCACATCAGCACTCCATCAATACTGGCCAGGTGCAGCGACTACGAGAGCTCCAAGATGACCTGGTTACCTGTCTAGATCGTAGCTCAGGCATCGATAGTAGAATCACCACTGAGAGGTCGTCGCCAGCACTGCAGGCCGTCAAGTTACTGGAAGGGCTCAACTCCAAGATGCTGGAGGAAGAGTTGGATGAGAGCCGTCTCCTTGAACAAAAGGTAGGTGCTACTAAGCTGGACCCAAACAGAGTCGATTCTGGAGTCAAAGGAAATACAGAAAGTGGGATTGGTATTCTGGAAGAGTCTGGAGTGAGCAGCAGTGATCCAGCTGATGAAAATGTGAAGGAAGCTCAGCCAAGTCTTCCATGTCACTCATCAGAGGGCAGCACGGAAGAAAGCAAGGAATCCTTGAAAGAAGGCATTACAGAAAACCAGGATGGGACAGACAAAAATGGTGGATTGGGTTTGGATAAAAAAGTCGTGGAAGAGAAGACCCTGACAGACCAAAGTGTAAACACTGATGAAGAGCCTGAGATGGTATTCCAAGATGCCTCTGTGGTCCTGGATGAATTAGAGATGATTACGTCTGAGAAGATGGACTTGGTTGATGATGGAGAGGTAAAAGATGAAGGAGTTGGTGTAAGGAGTGATGCTTCAGTTGATTTGAATGAGGGAGAGGCAATAAAAGACCAGCATCAGGGAGCTGAAGAGGGTGATCTATCAGGTAAAGGAGAGTCTGATGTGGAATCTGAAATCCCTGATAAGAAATACAGGTATCGCACCGACTTTGAAGTCCTGCAGTCGAAGATAGAGGTGATGGAAGAAAAATTGGATGAGGTGATGAAGACAGCCCGGCACTGGCAGGAAATGTACGAGGAGTCCAAGAAAGAAGAGAACTCTGATGATGAGAGTAACAAGATGGACCAGGAGTTGGGGAAAGATCAAGAGGATCTGGACGCTCCAGAGAAAGACGAGGACCCTTTGGCTGGAATTGGAGGGACACTTGAGAGTCTCTGGGCTGGTTGGCTTGAAACAGATCATGGGAAGGCCATCCTTTACTTTCTCAATCAGACACAGGAACAATCAGTTTTGTGGTCAGAAGCTGTTTTGAGAGAATTGGCTGCTTTGAAGGCTGTGCCCAATTCAGAGGAGGCACAAGCATTCCTGAATAACTCTAAATTGTTCATGACTCACCTAGGGAAGGAGATTGAATCGGCAACTGGATACCTGAAAAATCAATCTTCAAGGTTGATGGAGGAGAATAACATCACTGCTGAAAATGTGGGTGAGAAAGCTAGCAGTGCCTGGACAAAGGTCAAGAACGTCACCTCTGACATTGTAGATTACAACAAAAAGGTTCTGTCTTTCTTGGGGGAGCATCTGGCTAATACTGTGCATTCTGTTGAGAATATCTCTGCTGAGATCATCGCTGACCAGAATCTCTCAATGTCGAATTTTGCCAATATGGTAGAACAGGCTTGGGGAACTGTGAAAAATTATTCATCCCTTGTAACCGAAACCGTTTTGAACAAAACTTCAGAATCAACAAAGACCACAGAGAGTCAGCCTGATGATGTTTCGGAAACCGAGTCTAGCGAAGACACCCAAAGTGGTTTAGGAGAGACACTTAGAGGAGCATGGGAAACCGTTCGCAATTACTCCACAAATCTGACCTCAAAGCAAAACCTCTCCATCTCTGGGCTCCGAGAGCAAGTGAAGGCGGCATGGGGTAAAGTCAAGAATACCTCGGCTCAAGTAATGGAAGACATCTCTGAATCAAGTCTTGCTGAGAAACTGAAAGATGGTGCCCAGAAATTTGGTGAAAAAGTTGGGTCAACAGTTAGGTCAGTTAAGGAAAAGATTAAAGGGTTACACAACAGAAAACGCTGTGGAAAGAGAAAACACCACTGTCATTCAGACGGGCATCGTCACGCTCAAAGAGGGAAGGAAAAAGACCAAAAGAAATTTAATAAGCACAACGGTCATGCAAAAAAGAAAAAATGGAAAAAACTTCAGTCAGAAAATAAAAAGGAAGATCCCAGTGAAGAGCATAATAGGCACCGCAAACATCAAAAGCATAAAAAATATCATGGACACCATAATAAATCAGGCAAAAGAGGCCAGGCACATCACAGTGAGCAATATTCTTTGCCTTCAAGAAGGCAGCATCAGCACCAACCACCACTTGATAAATCTGACACCACAAAAAGCCAATCTAGTACTTCTCAACAACCTGAGCGAATCCTTAATCAGGATGCGACCCACCACAAACGAGACTATCTGCTCAAGCAAGACCATCATAGCTTTGTGACATCAAGTGATCCAAGATCCCAGAACCAACATGCGTCTCACGAAGTTGAGCCTCCTCCCGGGGAAGAGCGAGAGGATCTTGTACCTGCAAAACAGCATTTGAAGCCCAGGTATACAAGAAACCAGCAAAAATCTGGTGGTCGTGGACAAGAAATTCCAAAGGATGATGATATGGCTTTGGGAGAACACTTCAAAGCATACACTAGCAGTTGTCCACCCAAACCAAGAGGTTTGGAGTCCAAAGCAGAGGAGAGTGCCTCCATATCAAACTGGGAGGAACTCTTTGATTGTGTTGATATGCACTGCAAAGGAAATGAAAAATGCATGCTAAGTCAACGCCGTGATGCAGCCAGGTTGTACTCAGAGCTCCTCGACTACCAGGAATGGCTGAAGGAACGCAATCTTAAGAATGATGTCCGAGAACTCAGAGAGTTCTTAGAGGAGCTCGGCGAGTTTCTCAGTGAGACAGACTCTGATGATGAAGACCTAGATGAGCTGAAGGATGAGTTTGGTGATATGATGCAAGATATGGAAGAGAGAGCATTGAAACGACAACGAAAAAAGGACAAATCACTGAAATCACAACATCACAAACCCAAGGAGACTAATCAAAATCATGATGTACGTGTACATCAGCAGGAAGATTCAGCTAGGTTGAGTGATCCTGAAGAACTCGAAAACTCAACAGTCATCATCGACCTCAAAACCCTCCCCCAGCAGCAAGATCGGATCTCGAACTCGCAATCCCAGTCTTCTTCAGGGAACTCCGAGAAGCGGAAGTATGCAGGGAGGGGTTTCCATAGTAACAATGATGATGATGACTGGTACCTTCAACGAGCCAAGACTAGGGCAGAGCAGCGTAGGTCTCAGCACTGGCTGGGTGATAACGATCACAGGGACACCCCCAACTGGTATCTTCACTGGGTACAGGGGCGCATCAACGGGCGTACAGGGGTGACTGTTTGGGATATGTATGAATGGATCAAAGAGAGATACATGCTTAGAGAGGAGTTGAGGAGACATGATATGGAAGACCATACAAATTGGTTCCTCAGAAGACCCTAAGAACATTGAACGAAAGCTTTGATCACTCATTTATTTATTATTTTAACCTTTTCGAAATAATTTGGGTTTCTGTGAAACATCCGTGCAAGATTTCGAAGTTGTCTTTGTGAAATTATCTGCAGCTCAGCAGAAATGGGTTTTAAGTAAAGATCTGCAGTGTGAGCTGTGTTGAAACGAAATGCCTCCCCAAAAGCCCCTCTGCTGAACTGAACCGATGGCATAATATGGTTTGAAATTTAGTGTGCATTTTTATTTTTTCATTTAAACGAATATGAACCCAACCATCAGTGAAGTTTCTCCTGTGTTAAAAAATTGTATATAAAGATCGAAGTTTGAAGCATTGAAACCAAGGATCGGGTCAAAATCATGTAGAATCATTTGCCTAAACATAAAGATACAAGTTCTTGGGGGTTTTTGAAAATGTTCTTACAATCCTTACTGATGGCACAGGGCCAAGTTGAAATAGATGAACATTAGTGGATTTTTGGGCCTTTATGTTTTCTTCACCCAACCAAAATATACTACTCATTTCAATTAAACTGGGTGTATACTATAACGCTTGTTTTATTTTGGTGCTGAGGGTTGTGGTCTCATTTTTACCTGGCAATTTTGTTTGATTATCTTTGCAATGAATATATGAAAAATATGTCACACAAACTAATAATTTTTTTTATTTTAAAAAAATATTAATAAAGCTTCATGCATCTTTGCATGTCTTTGTGTTTTGTTATCAGTTTGCTCTTTTGATCTGAAAGTGAAATAAGTAGATTTTGGCTTTGTTTCCGTTTAAGTTCATTAGAAAATCAATGGCACTATATTTCACTATCACCTACATGTAAACATAACCACTTGTGTTTCAGATCTTACAATCAATACTGCTAGGATATTCAATTCACAAGGTAGAAACCTTTACAGAGGTTATCCTGGTGGTGTCTGAAAACGAAAACTGTAGACAGTTGGAATTTGGTTTGTTTGTTCAAGCTGAACATGCCTATGTTTGCGTCAAATCTGCATTTTGACAAAACGAATCTATCCCAGATAGCATCTGTCTCATCTAGGCATGATTATTTCATCTCCAATTGCTATGTCTTATGAGGATAAAAATTGTATAAATTATTAAAATAAATGCACATCATGTTGAATTTTAAAGCCATGTAATTTATATTTAAAACAGCAATTCATATTTCAAAAATATGTTTGAATTTTAGTTTTGTTGGTTTCCTTCAGGTTATCATTCATGAGATATCAATAAGTAGATGGCAGACCATATTTCATAAAGTATATATTATTCTTCTGACAGTTTTTCTTTCAGCATTTTTTTCTGACTTGCATTTAGTAGTAGCTGAGATTTTCGCCCTGCATTGCCATCACAGCAGTGCTGTTTTTGCTTAGAAAACAATGTAGTGAATATCACCGTGTGTTTTGTTTATACTTCTACACAAATGCTGTATGTTATCATCACAAATGTTTTGCTGAGCACATTCAGTAGGCTGAGGTGTATTTTCTGTTATGCACGTCGTTAAAATATCTGGTGAGTGAAAGAGAAAGTTTGTATGTATGCATGAAATTAAGTTTAATCCAGGAATGTACGTGTATATCTGACATGGACACGTTGTACAAAGTAATTAACATATGTTATTTGCTTGAGCATGTAGGGTTGACCTTTCCTTTCTCTTCTGAAGAGATATTCTCGACTGTGGCAGCAAGTTTATTTATTTTTGACATGTCAATTTCTGAAAATGGTAGTGGATTGAAGAAAAACTGTATGATGAAAGATTTACAATTACACAAATTAGACACGCCATTCTGGAAACTCCACTGTCACTGTTCCCCCCCACACCTGTTATGCTGCTTGTAAATGTTGGCATAGTCTAAAATGCTTTGTACATAATGCTGTGAGGTTGTTATGCAGATATTTAAGTTATGGAATAAAGCATCCAAGTGATGTAATATTTGGAAAGGTTTGAGGTTGCAAGGTGGTGAGTAGGTACATGTGAACTATTGAAGGGCTTGGTTTTATATTGAAGGCATGATACAGTGACATAGTGGTTGGATGACGTTGGTGTTGACATGATGGGTGCAATGGAAATGTTAATATTGTATTTAATTATAAAGGCAAATTTGCCCTTTTCCGCTTGCTTATTTTGTTTCACATCAAGATCAAACAGTGTAATGTGAGTATGATTTTTCTGGGTCCAAAATGCATAGTTTTTGCAAAGCCGTAGTTGCACCTGTAGTTTTTGTACCTGCCTATGTGCCCCAGCTTACATATAGTGCCACATTCTCCATTCCCTGCTTCTGATCTTAAAAGAGTTTTATTGTAGAGTGTGCAGGAGCTCAAGCACAGTGCATTTCTTCGGTGAGTTGCATTTTTGGAAAGAAACAAAAAAGGTGTCTCGTGGATGTGCATGTTGTGTTTGGAAGTGTGCCCTGCATTTCTCCCGGAAACTGCTAGACTTTGAGAGATACATTACGTAATGGGGAGTTGGATTGGGCATTGGAACTCGGAGATTGGGATGAATGCAAGATATGGTTGAATGAACAAACACTCATCAAACAGCATCAGCTGTTATCATGATCTTGGGTGCCACAGTAATCCCTACCTTCACAGAGTCTACACACAACTCACAAAGGAGATGGTGTTACTGCAAATTGAACTTAATTTATCATTAAATTATCATGTTTGGATATTACACATTAACAGAATTGATTTCACAGGTGGAAAACAGAGACAAATATTTGAAGAAAAATCTTCATTCACTGCAGTTGGTTAATTGAAACTGCACAAAGTGTCATCTCTATTCAAGTAGTAAATCACGTGGAAAATACGTTGTTCCACTCCACTGGCTATCTACTTCTAGCAGCTTGAGCATGTTAGGCGGTTGCCAGCCTGAGGGTCAATTCGGATGTTCATACTATCATGTATTTTCGATCTGTACATTCAGTTATGCTGTTGCTAGCAGTCTTCTAGTTATGAATTGAAAGTATTCTCTCAAAATATATTTTTGAGGGTTGAAACTACTCGAATGAATTAATGACTAGCTTGTATTTTTAAAGTAAACTCAAATGTCAGCTTTCTCATGGAGTGGAAAAATCTTACAGCAGAAATTGGCAAACCTGATGTGCCTTTCTCGAACATTTGTCTCTGTTAAGTTTCAGTGTACAAAGGCAGTAAAATGGAACAAACTGTCCGTCTTCAAAATATTGTGGTTGTTATCTCCTTGCAAATACATGCAATAGAAAACACCGCTTGCCAGCTATGAAAAATTCAGTAATGTTTAAGTCGTATTTGGCAATTTAGCTGTAAATTTCACGGTTACTTTTCCTCTGTCATATGATTTGTAAAGTTGCTATTTTGCTGGTCACATATTTACGAAAAAAATTGTTTGAGGTTGCATGCAGTCACAGATAATAAAAGACGAAACTCAGCCAGGCCCCCTTTGCTCACGTCTGTCTTGCTTAAATGTGTCCATTTTAGTGGAATTTTAATAATCGGCCCATCAATAACCAGCCCCGGACTCCCCCAAAGCCCACAGATTAGTTTATTAGAAAGTTACCAATTTCAAGAGCGAGCACTGCAAAATGCGTGTGGAACAAGGCAATTGACCAGCGCGTACTGAAAAAAGACTGCTGGCGCGTGGCTGGAAACTATGTGAAATAGGAAGTAAAAGCTAGTAGGATTCGCTGATTTTGAGTAAGGAGTTAAATTTATATAGTTGAGTTGAATAATGAGGTACGTTTGTTGTCTTTCTTTCGAACCCATTTCTTCACCAGTAGGTACAGAATTCTGTCAAGAAGAATGGATGAGGAGTCTACTTTTATTATGTAGATTAATGAAAAGAATGGGCGTAGCGAATTCTTGGCACGAACTGCAGTTCAGGGCTTTTTCTTAGACTTTCCATTCTAGCACGAATTTACAATTCTGAGTTCATTCTCTGACTTAAACGTTCCTTCAACAACTGCTGTTGCGATAACAAAAGAGCAACAGGTGTCCATTTCCCTAGTCATAGGGGGGCCTAGGTGTTGGGTAGCTAAGCAACCCGTTCTTCGTTCTGCATTTATCCTTAATGCGTTTCAAATCCGGGGTCTAATAGTTACTCCTTCGCTTTGGTGTACAACTGTGGGAGGAAACGTGATCGATACATATGCAGACAGCACAGGTGGATTACCCACTCTGCAATGCTTAGAGAATTGAATACATGTACCTTTGCAGCAGCTACGGAAAGCTCCTGGACCTAAAGGGTTAACCCAGACCAACTACATGGAGGTTGAACGAGTAGCATTATTTGGAACAATTTAATTGACCACTTAAATGATGATCCCGTATTCAAACATATTGCTGAATATTAAACCATCAAGCTTGCCCATAAGCACCGCAATGACTACCTTTTCCCTGATTCCATGGCAGCCAGTGCCTTCTGCGAAAACACTTTGATACGTATGCAAACAGGTTAGCTGCCATTAGATGAGCCCCCATTGCCTTAAGACCTGGATACCATAAGGCTGAGCTGAGAAATGTCATCCATCACAGCACACCTGATAGAGCACATTCCTGAGATTTCATCCAAGCGCATTGGCTGCTACCAATCCAGAAAGGCTTGGGTCAACCTCAGTGGGTTCGGGTCCGGAGGTGGTTGGACCAGGGTCTTCCTACCTAAGATTGGCACATCGGAAACATCACTGTTGCGGAACGAGGTGGTAGGATACCAAAAATGTCCGTTGGAGAAACTGGGCATGGACACGGTACATATACTCTGTCTTGGTTGTGTTTATTCTTATCTCTGCATAGACATTCGAACATGGGAAGCCCTGGTTGGCCCTTGTTAGCCCTGGTTAGCCCGTTCTAATAGAACATATGACACAAAACAAGTACATGCATTTGGGTAAGATAATATAGAGGGCGCAACAATGTTTGTGTACAATAGTGATCGAGGAGCGGCACGTATTTCCGACAGTAAGGGATTATGAAATTTCGCAATAGAATTTGGTGTCTAAATAATCACTCTTTATAAGAATCAGTTATCTAATTATATGAATTACTCATTTAACTAAAAGATTAATTAAAAGGTGGTGAAACAGACTCCCTACCGTCCTTTATCCGGCCATCATTTGGTACTGATTTTCTGCGTTCCGCTCACGCGGCCTGACAATCGTCTCGCAGCCTTTTTCTTTGTCATCGCGCGGTGGCGCTCTTCCGATAAAGTTAACTTTTCGCAACACAGCCGCCCCTTAACTGCGAGGAGTAGTTTACAAAAACACCAGAAAAGTTTTCCTTTTATAAAGGGTAGTTTAACAAACAAAAAAGGGTGCCATAGCTTTGGCAAAGGGTAAAGTTTAGAGACATGTTATGAAGATGGATAATATAAAGCATGAGGTTCATCAAGTCAGTTGAACCCTCCTACGTCAAGGGTTCGGATCATCTGAGGAGTCAGCATCTGGTTCTGCTGGCAATAGGATCAGGCGGGCAACTGGCCGAATATATTCTCGACCACCAGTCTGCAGCTTTACAGTTCGGACCCGGCCATCTCTCCCCGGCAGGGCCTCAACGACCTGCGCCACAGGCCATGAGGCACGCGCCTGCTGAGGGTCCACCATGAGGACAACATCGCCAGCCTTCAGATTATCTGCCTCACCCCTCCACTTCTGTCGTGCCTGCATGGCGGGTAAGTAGGATTGAGTGAATTCTTTCCAGAACCTCTGCATTAAGGCCTGGCACTGCCTCCAACGGCGGCGACTGAGTACATCCTCATCGGGATATACCAACTGAGGAGGCGCATGGTCCAGCCGCCCCATGAGCAACATAAAGGGTGTTATTGGATCTGGATCCGCCACGTCGGAGGAGATATAGCTCAACGGCTTCGAGTTCAGAAGGGCCTCAACTTCGGTGAGGCTGGTGTACAAGACTGAGGGGGAAACTGTCTGATTGCCAAGGATCGCATAGAGTGCCGACTTCACGGATCTTATCTCCCTCTCCCATGTGCCACCAAAGTGAGGTGCAGTGGGGGGGTTAAACTTGAAGTGCACCCGATGCTTAGCGAGCTTTTCCTGGAGGCTTGGAGTCATAGCCTTGAAGGCATTTGTCATCTCGGTCTGACCTCCCTTGAAGTTCGTGCCATTATCGCAAAGTATCTCATGAGGGGTTCCGCGCCTGGAGCGGAAGCGACTGAAGGCAAGAAGGAATGCATCAGAGTCAAGAGACTCTAAAAGGTCAAGATAAACAGCCCGTGTGGTGAGACATTTCCATATAATTCCCCAACGCTGTTCGTGACGTCTCCCGATAGAGACAGAAAATGGTCCAAAACAGTCTACACCCGTAGAGTAGAATGCAGGCTTTCCGACCCTAAGACGAGCAACTGGAAGATCAGCCATTTTAGGCACCGAGGGGCGCCCTCTTTTCCTCAGGCAGCCTGGGCAGCGACTCTGCAAGCTGCGAATAGCCTGGCGGCCTCGCAACACCCAAAATCGTCGGCGGAGATCAGCAAGAACTGTCCCAGTTCCACAATGTCCGAGACGACTGTCTGCCTCCTGAATAAGGAGGCGCGTGATAGGGTGCTTGGGATCCAACACGATCGGGTGTTTCATCGTCTCATCAATCGATGGGGATCGACGGAGCCTTCCTCCCACCCGGATAACTTGGCACAAGTCATCTAACTCTGGGGCTAGGCTGACGAGACGATTCTTCCGAGATACATCTTTGTCGGCACGAAGAGCCGCAACGTCTTCTGGAAAGCTGTCAGCCTGCACTTGTCGGTATAGAAGCTCCTCCGTTTTCAAGCGATCTTCTGCAGTAAGAAAGTTGGGCTTTGGGTCTCCCTTTGAGTCGGAAATGGCAGCAGCGTAACCTTCAACTAGGTCTTCCCAGGAGGCGTATTTAGTGAAGTCAACATTCGGTGGTGGCTCTGTAGAGGCAACAGTATGTGCAGCAAACCCTTGATGTTTGAGTTCAGCTTCCACCTCTTCTTGTTTACTCTGGACGGGCAAGACGGGCCACTGCTCCCTCGAAAGGAGCAGGAATGGCGGTGAATGCCAACGGCTGCTCTCGCCCAACTGATCAAGCCTGAGACCTCTGGTGAGATCGTCAGCTGGATTGTTTCCTGAATCGACGTATCTCCAAACTGTGTGGTCAGTGAGTCTCTGGATTTCAGCAATGCGGGCTCCAACGTATCGGTTGTACCGACAGGATTCAGACTTGATCCAGGACAACACTGTTGTACTATCACTCCAACAAGTAATTGGCATCTCCATTTTCATCTCGTCGTCCAACAAGTCTGCTAATTCAGCTCCACTCACGGCTGCTTGAAGTTCTAGGCGGGGCATGGTTTGAACACGCTTTGGAGCAAGCCTTGAACGAGACATCACAAACCTCACACTAACATCCGAGGGGGAAACCGTGGCTCTTAAGTAAGCCACAGCACCGTAGGCCTTCTCTGAGGCATCGGTGAACACATGCAGTTCATGTTTGGCATGACCAGGCATGAAGTGATTTGGGGTGTAGCACCGGGGAATGCTAATCTTGGGTAAGTCTGCAAGCTCCCCTCGCCATTGGAGGTGTTTTGCTTGCAGCCCGTTTTCCCCCAAATCGGCAATCTCGTCATCCCAGTTCAGAGGCTGTTTCCATAGCTCCTGCAGCAACATCTTACCCCTGACAACATAAGGCATTAGGTAGCCAAGGGGGTCCTTGCCTGCACACTGCATGACATCGCTAAGTACGGTTCTTCTGGTCGGAATCGGGTGGTCTTTCAAAGCTATCTGGTAGTTCAATGTATCATCCTGAAAGTTCCACCTGGGACCCAAGGCAGCCTCCTCTGGGGAACTGCCATTCAGGTTCATCCAACAATCTGCATTGGTGGAGCGGGCTTCAAGTGGGAGTCCACTTACTACAGACGGGACATTGCTGGCCCACTTGACTATTGGGAACCCTCCAGTCCCCAGAGAATGGACTAACTTCTCCACCAACACCTTTGCCTCTTCGGCAGTCGGTTTTCCGTCCAGACAATTGTCGACATAGAAGGCTTCAAGTACACTTCTGACTACATCAGGATCTTCGGTGTTATCTTTCACATGCTTCTGGAGAGCGTATGTGGCACAGCAAGGGCTGCAGGTTGTTCCAAAGGGCAACACATTCCACTCAAACTGAGTTGGCTCGGCCTCAGACCCAAGCTCCCTCCATAGGAAACGAAGTGCGGAACGGTCCTCCTCACGGGTTTGGACACAGTGAAACATTGCCTTTATGTCTCCAGAAACAGCAACAAGGTGTCGGCGAAACCTCAACAGTACTCCAACCAAAGTGGATCCAAGGCTAGGACCGGGTAACAGACGATCGTTGAGGGATTCGCCCTGGTATTGGAAAGCGCAGTTAAACACAAGGCGATGTTTGCTGTTTTGCTTAACGATGTGATATGGGATATACCACTGGCGCTGGATGGAGTTTACCTTTCTCTCAGTACCTACAGTACTAACTAGTCCGGCTTCTCTCAATTCCTGTATCTTCTTGTGATTGATTTCTGCAAGATCAGGGTTCTTCTCGAGGCGCCGTTCATTTCTTCGCAGGGCTGGCAAAACTGAGGAAGCTGGACTGAAGAATGTGTCTTCCTCACACCTCCATAAGAGAGGTGTTGCCACCCGTCGGACACCGCTAACTTCCACGTACGTGGACTTAGATTCCAAAAGATCTACTGCTCTCTGATCCTGTTTGGACCTGGTGACCTGTTTCCGCTCGCTGTACATCTGTACATCGTTCTGCCACATCCTGCAGACACTTTCATGCAAAACCTCATCGGCTTCACGGCTAGTAAGCCCTTGCAGGTGATTCACCTCCCCTCTACATCGGTCGGTGAGCACCGGGCCCTGCACTGCCCAACCTAATTTTGTCCTAACAGCAACTGGCGCTCCCTCTGGGCCAAAGTGGCTCTCAATTGGGACAATAAGGTCTGCCCTGTCACTACCAATTAACATGAGAGGGTGAACATCTTTACAATCGGTTAGTGGGAGATCTCGGAGATGGGGCCACCTTCGCCGAAGCTCTGTCACGGGGACCGAGTGCTCGGACAGCCTCAGCATCGGGGACGAAAAGACGTTGGACACCTCGATTCTATTACTTGGGTCACTCTCGGGTGCCATCTCAAGATTCAGCACGGTCCCTCTACAGGGAGTACATTCTTCTCGAGCCGTTGCAATAGGCATCTCGGTTCTCTTCCCCTTGAGATTGAGGGCCTTGACAGCCTCTGGCAGCATCATTGAGAAGTTTGCTGCATCATCAAGGAGACAGTGAGTCTTAAGTTGAGACCCATTGCCGTATAGGATAACAGGCACAATCTTCATGCTCACTTGGCCTGGGCTCCATGGATTCCCATCTCCATAGAAGGCGGAGAGGTTGGGATTGAAACTGGAGTAATATATTCCATAGCCCGGTTGCTTGATGAGATTGTGAAGGACGGTTAGATGGAGTTGATCACATTCTCTGCAGGCCTTCTTTAGATCACAGTTCTGCCCTTCCCGGTGCAGGCGTGCACACTGCCAGCAACGACGACCATCTTTGAGCCATTTAATTTTCTCCTCGGTGGTAAGCTTGCCAAACTCACCACAGCGAGACAGCCAGTGGTCATTTTTGCAGAAAGGACAAACCTTCTTAAATGGCTTCTTTCCACTGCCTGCTGACTTGCTGACTGAAGAAATCTGGTCATTCATACCTTTCCCTACCGACTGACTTTGGCTTCTGCCTCCACCCTCAGTATGGTATGCAGAAATGCCTCGTCTACGATGATCTTGTTTGGCCTGTGGGCCAACCCGCAGGCTGTCTTCAAGCTGCACCCTTTTGCGTGCAACAGTGGCAGTTTCCTTCAACCAGCTGTTGAAGTCAACCAAAGAGAAAGTACGGATACCTTTTGTTTCCATCCGCTTCAAGAATGCAGTTTGGTGCTGACTCGAAAGTCGGCCATGCAAAACACATGCAGTGGAATTTGCTCGAAGCTCAGCCGCCCCCTCGGGAGCATTTTCAAGCTGAGTGACAAGGGCAGAGACAGCGGAAGCGAATTCAATTAGGCCTTTCGCATCACTTGCTGCAACTCTCGGCCACACTGTGAGTTTCTCTATCTTTGCCCTGATGAGTACACCTATGTCACCATACAGCCGCTGGAGTGTTGACATAGCCTTTGTGAAGGGGGCGGGATCATGTTCCATTCCCAAAATATCCTTCTTTGGTTGCCCACTGAGTTTGGACTTCACTATGAAGTATTTCTGTAGCTCACTCAAGTGTATCAGAGGCTTAATACAGCCATTGATCATGGATTCAAAGCATCGGTATTCAGAGGGATCACCTCCACTGAAGTGTGGGACTTCGACATTGATCCCCCCGGCGGAGGCTGCCAACATGGAACTCAGCATCATTTGCTGGGAAATTGGATGGTAGGTTTCAGGAAATGACTTACCAGTGGAAACAGGATCTACACACTGGCCACTGGAAAGACCGACCAAAGAAGTTGGCAGGGCTCTCACAGGCACGGATGCACATGGTAGGGGCGTAGTAAGGGAAGTCGTCGGTGTGAGTCTGGTGCCCAACGGAGAGGGGGCTTGGAGACCCATGGGATAACGACCAAAACGGCCACATGGGGAGGTGGACGTCTGCCCCTGAACTGCATCTGCGGGTAGTGAGGACAATGTCTGGGTTGTGGCCACGGTAGAAGCTGTACACGTACCTAGAGCAGGAAATGAAACTGATCTGGAAAGAAAGTCAAGCCCAGAGTACGTGTACATGGGTGAAAAGGAAGTCACATACGAGCTGCCCTGTGTTAGGGTGCCCGGTTGGGGCGTGGAAACATGTGTTTGTGGCAATCCCATCATGGGCAGTGACAAAGCAGCGCTAGCCTGAGGTGCGGTGATCGCTGGCGGTGGCGATACGGTCATGTGCATGGGCAAAGCAGCGCTAGCTTGAGGCACGGTGATCGCCGGCGGGGGCGATACGGTCATGTGCATGGGCAAAGCAGCGCTCGCTTGAGGCACGGTGATCGCCGGCGGTGGCGATACGGTCATGTGCATGGGCAAAGCAGCGCTAGCTTGAGGCATGGTAATCGCTGACAGTGGCGCAGGTAAATATGACTGCATATCGCCGCCATCATGTAAATCATGGCCTACATTTGTATTTTTGGCATGCAATTCTTGCTGCTGAGGTATTTGGTTGCCAATGCTCGGCTCTTCAAGTGGTAAAGGAATCTGTTCCCCTGAAGTATCCTTGGAAACAAGTTCAGAGTCAAGTTCGGCATGAGCGAGGTTGATCTCGGCATTCCGCAGCTGCAGTTCCAGCTCTAACTGCCTGGAGAGGGCCTCCTTTCTCTTGAGAAGATGTTGCTCTTCATTCAGGGCTGAAAGGCGAGCTTGCTGAGCCTCACGTAGCCGTTCATCGATTTCATCTTGCTCCGCTCTTGACTTCATTTCAATCTCCATGCGTAGCTTAGCAAGGGCAAGTTCTTGTTGTCGCAAATGGAGATTCTTCTGGGATTTCCGAGATGAAGATGAATGGCTGCTGCCTCTGCTCTGCGATGAATGCTGAAAACTGCGTTGATCATCTGGCTGTGGTGCCGAGACATCGGGTTGCTGTCCAGCAGTTGACGTTGCTGCATGGGATCGCAGGACTCGGCGGGTGATGTTGA